TCGGTACTCGGTAGGAGATTTGCTTAACATAACGCCGGCTGCCTTTACTTCCCAGGACCATACTTACTCTTGCTGGTCGACCTTGAAGCCAAAGTCCTTTTCTAGGGAAATGAATCCGGTTCTATCAGGACCCGAACCTACGACCTTCCGATTCGCAGGCAAGCGTCTAGCCATTTCACCACATCGACTCCTACTGTTCACTAGACGACACAACATAAATAACAGACAACTGGTTGGAAAGCACAAACATAATAACAATCTCACCAAATACCTAATCTATATTAATAAAAATGTTAATTTTCCATGGTCGTTAATTATAGACTCGGAAACTACTGAACTGATTGCTTTAAAATTTTCACACAACATTGCCTTTGACTCAACGCGTGTTTTTATGTGAGAAAATCGCATAAACCACGAACAACGTAGCCCCAGCAACGATCAAATCATTATTTGTTTCGATGCCGGCCCGGATTTGTGTTTAGTTGATTAGCCACCTTTGACTGCTGAGCAGGGCTGCGAATAGATACCTTTTCCCCCATGATCCATTTCCGACATTTCTTTACTGATCGCTTTCGAATTTTCACACAACGTTACCTTAGACCCTGCGCGTGTTTGTATGTATTAGTGTTGCACAAAACACGAATGAAGTAGCTCCTGCAACGATAATTTCATTATTTGTTTCGTTGCCGGCCCGGATTTGTTTTTAGTTGATTGGCCACCTTTGACTGTTTGTGGGTGTGTATACAAAACTGAGCTTCAACTTATTATATATAATTTCATTTCTACTAGATGTCTGAGTCCTTAGTAGCGTAGTTGTAAGCATTCCACCTTTCACGCCGGTGATCGGCGTTCTATTCCCCGCTCAGTAATTATATAATTTTTTTGTGGGGGGGGGGGGGCGCCCTTAACTGGGCGGCTGCCAGGCTGTGTTGTGGTTTATAGCTAGCTTGCGATAACTACGCCTTTTTTCGAGCTCGATTTTGGGGTTTACATCTAGCCTGCGATAGCGGCGACGTGATGCTCAATGTTCATAGCACCGGTAATCTTAGTTCGCCTTTGAGAGGTCGGTTGGCACGTTGTGTTGTGGTTTACAGCTAGGCTGCGACATCAGACCCAAAGTCTTCAGTCTTCGGTAGTATAGTTGTAAGTATTTAGCCCTTCCCGCGGGTGACCAGTGTTCGATTGCCAACTGGGTGGTCATTTTTCTTTTTTCCCCAACAGGGCGGTTGCCTCGTTGTGTTGTGGTTAACAGCCAGGTTGTGATATCAGCGCCTTTTGCCCAACGACATCCGATTTCAGTAAAGTCCCAATTAGCCTTCCCGCGACGCTTTACTCGATTAAAAGCTATTCGTTGATGACTGTTAACTAAGACGTCTTTTAGTCCAATTTGGTTTGGGTCGACACGGATGCCAAGGTCAATTTAAAATCGTCCCTTTTTAGAGGGAGAGATGACGGGTAGAGTTTTTATTTCAGCTATGTGTGAGTATAGTGTACTTTTTTTTTAAAGTCACGGAATATTACTGTGGTTTTTTTTTTTTGTCGGGGGCACAGTCAAACTAAACAGTCCGTGGCGACAACATGCGGCGCTATCTCCTCTGGCTACACCGACCTGCACAGACGGTAGTGACAGTTTTGTTGTTGTTGTGAAGGTGCTGGCGGTATTGGTAGCATTAGTACTGGTACTTGATGGGTGATGTGGTAGCTGTTACACTGGCCACATTTACTTCTCAGTAGAGATTAATGCTATCCATTTCAGTTTGTGTGGACACGGATATCAAGCTCAATTTAATAACAATATTTCGTCCGGCGATGACTTTCACATACTTCGGAGAGTATGATATTATTGTAGGAAAAGGAGTTAGGGGGTGGGGGGAGGGGAGGGGGTTGGGAAGTTAATACCAGACACTGTTTACTGAGAGAGTTTAAAACATTGTTTTAAAGTTCTCATTTCTTAACTATTTCTATTTGAATAATTTCGCCACGTGATGATTTTTCAATCATTTGGAGAGGGAGATATGACCGGGGGAGAAAAAAACAGGGGGGGGGGAGTATGACAGACACTGTTAGCTTAGAGAGCTTAAAATTTTATTTTAAAGTTCTTATTTCATAAATATTTATATTTTAATACCGCTTCCTCGGCTATTCTCATTTTTTTTGGGCCACTTTGTTGGTCAGTTAGAGGTATAGTAGTCAGCTTTACTTTCAGCTGTTTTAAGCACAAAAGATGCTTTAGCCTGCAGATTATTTATCTTTTTATCTCTCTCTAACAATGCACTTTAAACGACCACTAATATCGACATTCACTGATATGTTGCGTGTTCTAGAGTCGGCATATCAGATTATCTCTGTAGCTGTGCAATGACTGATATTATTCATATTAGACATGTGTGCTTTCTATTTTCTTTCTTTTCCAGTTCACCATTTTGGGCCACAGCAACGCGTGGCTGGGTACAGCTAGTGAACTTATAAGGAAGAGAACAAATAACAGGCAATTGGTTGGAAAGCACAAACATAAAAACAGTCTCACCAAATCCTTAATTAACTTATAATGCAGAGAACAAATAACAAGCAATTGGTTGGAAAGCACAAACATAAAAACAGTCTCAACAAATCCTTAATTAACTTATAATGCAGAGAACAAATAACAGGCAATTGGTTGGAAAGCACAAACATAAAAACAGTCTCACCAAATCCTTAATTAACTTATAATGAAGAGAACAAATAACAGGCAATTGGTTGGAAAGCACGAACATAAAAACAATCTCACTAAATACCTTTTGAACTTATAATGAAGAAAACAAATGTATCTTGTCAGAAGAGGCTGATCTGCCAATAATAAGGATGAGAAATAACTTTCAGCCAATTCTTTGGTCTCTTCAAAAAGAGACTTGAATACATGAGCACTGTTGCGCAGATTCTGAAAACAGGTAAATGAGACAATCACCATTTTATAATCATTGATAAAGACTGGCACACACATATTCATGACATTGAAACGTTACTGTGTTACATGCTCGCCGAGATTTGACTTTGTTGTACTTGTTTCTTGTTTGCAGTATCTCTGATTGAATTATATTTGTAAAATTGCATTTTAATACTCCGTAAAACCATATATAATATAATCATTACTTTATAGGATGCTACAATAAATGGCTTGAAATTGAGATAAAATAACTAGGGGGGACTTCACATTATCATCTGGCTGTGAATCATGGACAATTGGTAGTTTAGGGAAAGATTATGTAGAAACTGCTGAGACGTGGTTTTATAGACAAATACCCTGGACAGACACAACGAGAAATGAAGAAGTATGGAAATAAACTGATCCCCCTAAAAACTGATTGACCACATCAGAATGAGACAATCTACATTCTGAATCATGTGACGAGAAGGAGACAACTAGAGTACATCGTGACAGTAGGAAAGTTGGAGGGAAAGAGACGCAGAGGGAGACGGGGCGAAAAGATGCTGAATAGTTTGACATCATAACATGGAGGATCATCTGTGTCAGAGTTGACTGAAAATACGCGAGAAAGAAGGTTGTGGATAGACATGACTTCCAACGCCACACGGCAAGGATTTAAGAAGAAGAAAAGATTCAAATACTAAAGAATGAATAGAGATTTATGAAGTAGACTCATCTGTTGAAAATCCTGGCACCAGCTCTTGTCTCTAGTCTCGCTTGAAGTGGCTGTTTTCCGTTTTTGATTTGTTTAAATATGAACATTTACACACATGTATAAGAGATAGGTTTTAGACAGATAAAGAGAGATTGAGAGAGAGAGAGAGAGAGAGAGAGAGAGAGAGAGAGAGAGAGAGAGAGAGAGAGAGAGAGACAGACAGACAGACAGACAGACAGACAGACAGACAGACAGACAGACAGACAGACAGACAGACAGACAGACAGACAGACAGACAGACAGACAGACAGACAGACAGACAGACAGACAGACAGACAGACAGACAGACAGACAGACAGACAGACAGACAGACAGACAGACAGACAGACAGACAGACAGACAGACAGACAGACAGACAGGCAGACAGGATACAAAAAGGAGAGAGTTGAGTTATTTAAAAAAAAAGAAGACAATGAGAAGATAATCTTCTGTTTTGTTCACATCTGTTAAAATGTCAGTATTTCTTGTCTTCTTTGTCCACGGTATTTAAAATAAAATTGCTAAACTAGATATAAATAAGTAGAGAACCCTTTCCCACGACTTGAGGCGTATTAAGGATATATAGTGCTAGAGCTACATTTTATAGACCCATGGACACTGAGTGGATGATGTCATCAACATCACATCGGTCGCATGTATGTCTCAGGACTTTACCTTGTACCTATTTAAGACAAAGTCGACGTGGGAGCCAAAGTCAGTTTTTCAACAACAAAAAAGTGCGCTATACATACTTTCTGCCTAATTCTATTGTGATGCTTTTCCTTGTTGAACCCGGAACTTCAAGGCCCCTAACTATTTTCCAATCAAACGATTTTTTTTTCGAGTAAACATGATAATTAGAACAACATTGACCTCTGAGTTTAATAAACCTTAAAAAAAAACCTAAAATCTAGTACAGCTGTCTGTTTTTCTGTTATCACTTCGGCTCCGCCCCTTACAATGTATCACTATTGTTCGCTGAGCCGGTCCCTAAGTGTGTGAAAATACCCGGCATCTATTACTCCAAGAAGGCAGTCAGGCGTACAGCTCGAAACTGTTTCATACTAAAATACAACCAGTACAGTTATATAACCACTTGGTTCCCAAGCGTCATTACCAATTTTGTACTTCCATGTGAACAACTTTTAGCCTTCTCATTTTTAAGTTCCTTAACCTCTTCTTGCTGTCCAAAGTTTTTTTTTTTTCTGTCCTTCAGGGACAGTGTTTCCCTTCTCTACACATAGACAAACACAACTGTATAACTGTATAGGCTAACCAATTTTAGGAAGCCTGTCTGGTGTTTTTCTATAATTTGCGCTTGTTTGTTAGCGCATGACATACACTCCGCTTACCTTAAAGACCCTGTACTGCTGTTCTAAAACCTCAGCTGTAAAATCTAGGGATAATCCTCGAACACACAGCACGGCTGTATCCTCACACCATTTGTCAATTTTGTGACAGTCACTTTCAAACTTCCTTCGTGAAGATGCCAAGTTCCAGAGGTTATCTTGCTGTTGTTTTAACCTCTGCACTAGCTGCTCATATTGTTTTGTTAATTCTGTGAAAGACAACAAATCTTCTCAGTGTTTAACTTTGCAGAGTTCAACCTAAAATGTATAAATGACTGTTTTTAACTCGCCTCTGACAAAGCCTCCATTTCTCTCTCTCTCTCTCTCTCTCTCTCTCTCTCTCTCTCTCTCTCTCTCTCTCTCTCTCTCTCTCTCTCTCTCTCTCTCTTCTTTCTTCTTCCCTCCCTGTCTTATTTCTCATTTTCTTAATCTTTCCCTCTGTTCTACCTCTCCCTCTCCTTTTTATGCACTTATCTGCCACCGCCACCCCTTACTCTCCACGCATCTTGTTCAGTCTGTTAGATTCAATTAGATATAATCTTTTAACATGGCACACAGCTATAACCTGATACAAGGATAGATTTAAAAGAAAAGTATATCAGCGAGCTTCACAACATAACAAACACGAACAAAACGTGAGTGTTTCGAATATGGAGCCGTAATCAGCACATGCATAAATTAGAGAATACTAAACAAATACACAATATAACTTATCTTCGTATCTTAAAGCAGCCAAGTCGATGTCTAGCCAATAGACTGGCGGGACACGTGGGAAGAGGCAAATAAATATCCCGGGAAAAGTTAGGGTCGCAACTCGAGAATAAGATAAAACTGTGTAACCAGTTCAGTCCCCTAGGATTCTAGATGAAGTTGTGCTGGCAGTTTAGTCCACTGGGCACAATGTTCCCAAAGTGTATATAAAGCCATATAACCTGATACAGTGACGCTTGTATTATTGTAGTTCTGCCTTAAAATCAATTGTTTAAAAAAAAAAAAAAACTGTCTTATCCAGCTCTAGTGCAAGTCGTGCCTCAACTATACATGTTGATTCCGCATTTGTAAATAATAACATAATTGAATGGCACTTTTCCGTCTTTCCAGACGATAGTGTTAGGAGGCATGGGACTCACAGCACATGGTGATGGCGAGTGTGACTAGCAAGACCCACCGGTGTCAAGAGAAGTCTTCTACAATGATAGCATTTGATTTCAGGACCATTGTTGTCACCATTTGTGTTTAGTCCTTTTCTTCTCAGATGCTCAACTCTCATTCTTTCTGCAGTAATTTCCTCTTTGATTTTTATTCCCTTCCTGATTTGCCTCCTTTACACAACCCGGTGTATACCATTTTGTTCCCACGACTCCATCCCAACACCTGTATCATTGCACAAATTTTTATATCGTAGCAGAGTTCGGCCTCGACATCTTCTACCCGTCTTAATTTTCACCATAAAGGATATTCTTAGGGACTCTGCCATTCCCCAGGTGTGACCCTGACACCTAAGCCTCCGTAGACATAATAACATAATAGATTTAGATAAAAGAACAACAAGTAGATACCAAAGACGTATACGTGCACAAATTTAATGGTTTGATATTCATATTTTAAATTGTACGGAGAACAGCTAACATTTAGAAGTCAGAAGAAATCGAAATGCGCTCTGACATTATTATAAAAAGAGCTGTCCATGGACTTCACAACAAAAAGAGAGTTAGGCTATACGTCATCAATGAAAACGTTTTTATGATTTGCTTTGATTAGTACACATGCATTCACAAATACACTTCAGAATTGGCTTCAAAAATTTTACTAGTGTTCTCAAACATTTTTCAGTTGATTAAATTTTAGGTTTGCAAATATTCAACACTATCATTGCATTACAGACGGATTTGTAGAGTAAATTGTGAATACATATCGCCCTTGTATATATACCCTTAAACACATCACTTCTACACATATACGTCTTGCAATTAAGTCACAGTGGAATAAAACATGAAGTGTATTCTGAATTGTCATCATAACTACAAACAGCTGTCCAGACACCACTGCTTGAATTGAGGTGACACAAATGCCATCAGGAGTCCTTGGTCAATATTAATGATCTGAAGTATTCTTGTCTTATTTCTCAACGTTTTTAAATCTTCTAATCAAGCATTAATGACACACATCTAAGCTGATAAAACAATACGAATAAGACGTTATAAGTAGCATAGTCTACTCCCATGTTCTGCTTCATCGGTTTGCATTAGGCGTGTTTAAGTATTATTCTTACTCCAAGCGTAGTGCATTTGCCTACACTGGGTAATGGACTTGGGTCCGGTCTTGGGTAATAGCTGTAGCTGGTTTGATTCTGTTCAAACCCCCATGGCTCTAAGTGTCTCTAGGCTCATGAAATAGTGCCATCATGGTGGGTAAGAAAATGTAATAAAGCAAGCCACAAGACAAGACGCCGACCTAGAAACAGATGAGTGGATAAAGTCAAAGAGACACTAAAGAAAAGCAGTATGACATTAACAGAAGCTACACGACTAGCAACAGATAGGTGGATAAAGTCAAAGAAACACTAAAGTAAAGCAGTATAACATTAACAGAAGCTACACGACTAGTAACAGATAGGTGGATAAAGTCAAAGAGACACTAAAGAAAAGCAGTATAACATTAACAGAAGCTACACGACTAGCAACAGATAGGTGGATAAAATCAAAGAGACACTAAAGAAAAGCAGTATAACATTAACAGAAGCTACACGACTAGCAACAGATAGGTGGATAAAGTCAAAGAGACACTAAAGAAAAGCAGTATAACATTAACAGAAGCTACACGACGACTAGCAACAGATGGGTGGATAAAGTCAAAGAGACACTAAAGAAAAGCAGTATGACATTAACAGAAGCTACACGACAACTAGCAACAGATAGGTGGATAAAGTCAAAGAGACACTAAAGAAAAGCAGTATGACATTAACAGAAGCTACACGACTAGCAACAGATGGGTGGATAAAGTCAAAGAGACACTAAAGAAAAGCAGTATAACATTAACAGAAGCTACACGACTAGCAACAGATAGGTGGATAAAGTCAAAGAGACACTAAAGAAAAGCAGTATGACATTAACAGAAGCTACACGACAACTAGCAACAGATAGGTGGATAAAGTCAAAGAGACACTAAAGAAAAGCAGTATGACATTAACAGAAGCTACACGACTAGCAACAGATGGGTGGATAAAGTCAAAGAGACACTAAAGAAAAGCAGTATAACATTAACAGAAGCTACACGACTAGCAACAGATAGGTGGATAAAGTCAAAGAGGCACTAAAGAAAAGCAGTATAACATTAACAGAAGCTACACGACTAGCAACAGATGAGTGGATAAAGTCAAAGAGACACTAAAGAAAAGCAGTATAACATTAACAGAAGCTACACGACTAGCAACAGATGAGTGGATAAAGTCAAAGAGACACTAAAGAAAAGCAGTACAACATTAACAGAAGCTACACGACTAGCAACAGATAGGTGGATAAAGTCAAAGAGACACTAAAGAAAAGCAGTATAACATTAACAGAAGCTACACGACTAGCAACAGATAGGTGGATTAAGTAAAAGAGACACTAAAGAAAAGCAGTATAACATTAACAGAAGCTACACGACTAGCAACAGATGGGTGGATAAAGTCAAAGAGACACTAAAGAAAAGCAGTATGACATTAACAGAAGCTACACGACTAGCAACAGATAGGTGGATAAAGTCAAAGAGACACTAAAGAAAAGCAGTATAACATTAACAGAAGCTACACGACTAGCAACAGATAGGTGGATAAAGTAAAAGAGACACTAAAGAAAAGCAGTATAACATTAACAGAAGCTACACGACTAGCAACAGATGAGTGGATAAAGTCAAAGAGACACTAAAGAAAAGCAGTATAACATTAACAGAAGCTACACGACTAGCAACAGATAGGTGGATAAAGTCAAAGAGACACTAAAGAAAGCAGTATAAAATTAACAGAAGCTACACGACTAGCAACAGATGAGTGGATAAAGTCAAAGAGACACTAAAGAAAAGCAGTATGACATTAACAGAAGCTACACGACGACTAGCAACAGATGGGTGGATAAAGTCAAAGAGACACTAAAGAAAAGCAGTATAACATTAACAGAAGCTACACGACTAGCAACAGATAGGTGGATAAAGTCAAAGAGACACTAAAGAAAAGCAGTATGACATTAACAGAAGCTACACGACTAGCAACAGATGGGTGGATAAAGTCAAAGAGACACTAAAGAAAAGCAGTATGACATTAACAGAAGCTACACGACTAGCAACAGATAGGTGGATAAAGTCAAAGAGACACTAAAGAAAAGCAGTATGACATTAACAGAAGCTACACGACTAGCAACAGATAGGAAATTACATGGAACTCAACTCCTCAGCGCTTTAGGCATAAACCGTAACACACACACACACGCGCGCACGCACGCACACACACACACGCTAGCACACATAAACACACGCACATACAAGCAGGATTGTTCTTACCACATAATCGTTGCATACTTTAACGACACGTACATAAGCCTTTAGTCTCAGAAAACTTGTTCTTACCACATAATAATCTTTGTATACTGTAATGACATGAACATGAGCCATATTTCACGTATACTCACTGACCGCAAACAGTTGCCTCTAGTTCCTGTTTGCCACCATTATTGCAGGTCTGCTTCAAACGGTTGGCCATCAATTTAATCTGATCAACCTCTTGAGCATGGCTGTCAATCTCAGCAAGCATAGACTGATCGTGATCAAACAATGATTGTGTTACAATTCTGAGCAATTAAAATTGTTTAACATTTACACATTTAAAAAAAATTGAAATAACGGCTTTAGTGTGATATTCGTGAGAGAAAGGCAATAATTTTGTACATAAATTGTTTGTTTAAAGTATGTGTTCATACATTTCACATTATTTCAAGTATAAGATTACATTTATTTTCCATATAGTACATTATTTTTTAATTCACAATTATTATTATACAATTTTTTTTTGCTGAATGTACGCGTAAATATAATAAGATACTTAAAACAGTGATATGTTTCAGCAGTTAGTTATTAAGAAAGTAAGAGAGTGAAAAAAGTATTGAATGTATAAGTAATTCCTTTTACTGCCCGTGTGTTACCTGGTCCCCAACAGGAAAGCAAAGAATAGTAAAACTGCACCTCACCAGGCATGTCGTAAGAGGCGACTCAGGGTAGGGTTGGGCAAAACCAACTAACCATGGAAAAGTCAAAAAGAGAAACAAGAAAAACCCAACCACCAAAGTAGAAGAAGTATGACACGGTGCGGAGAAAGCCGAAAGAAGTCCCGATCGTCGACATACCTCCTTTCACCTAAGAAAATCTCCAGAATTGGTACCTGGAATGTTAGAACTTAGTACGATGTGGAACAATGGACGTTTAATTAAGGGCACTGAAGTATTGTAGGATATTTAGCATTTTGTGAAACTAGATGGATCAGGGCGGGGGAATATTCTAAATTCAGGGAAAACTATTCATTTCCATAAAATGCCTAATTCTTTCAACTAAACAACACCAGGAAGTAAAGCGTACCAACATGGTGTATTACAGCTTCATTGCTGACATTGCGAGCGAACGTCAATAAATGCCAAGTAACTCACTAAAATGCAATATAAAGCCAATCACTCCTAACGTCCTCACACTCGCTCTCAATGAAGATAAGACTATATAAATCACCGCTAATTTCATATAAAAAAATCTCTTTTGGTCATTGCCTCGACATTGGAAGAAAAAAAGTTTACGTTTTTTTTTTAACCAGTTTCAACATGCAGCCAAAATACTGATGAGCCAGGATACGTCGACACTTCCAAAGTTCAGCAGGAGCGTTGATTTCAAGTTCTCTTGGAGTCTCTTGAGAACCGTGTCTCAGAAAGTTTACGGTTTACGTCCCAGCATATGAGCTGATCTTTACTGTGGGATCCCGCGGTAAATCTTCCACTAGTAATGAACCACACTCGGACATACACGTTCGTCTTCTTTGACTTCTTGGCTTCGACTCTTAGAGCTCAATCTCCTAACAATGATATGTAACAGCTTCTGACGTCTTAATTTTGCTATATAACTATATAACAACCAACTAAAGAGAAAATTAGGAACGCTGTTAATCTTCTGAAGGAAGGAAAGACGGCGAGTCCGGGTGGTATCTAAGCAGAATTTATTAAGGCAAAAATAAACACAACAACTTGTGAGACCGAAGAAATACCAGCAGACTGAAGAGAAAGATATCTCGTGAAAATGCTCCAGAAAAGGTGAACTACAGAGTCTGAAAACCATAGGAGAGTTATGTTGCTGTCAGTTCCTAGAAAAATATTCTGTAGAGTTATTTTTTGGAAAGTAGTAAAGATGCTGTTGATAAAAACCTAAGAGATGAACAGACAGGTTTTAGGCCAAACAGATCCTGTACTGACCAGATAGTCACATTACGTATAATAATAAAGCAAAGCATTTAATTGAATTCGCCACTTTGCATTGGATTTATAGACTATGAAAAAGCTTTTGACAGCATTGATAGGGAAATTTTTGGAAAATAATGAAGCACTATGGAATCCCATTGAAAATTATTAACTTAGTAAAGGCAACATATAAAGTCATAATGTCGAGTTCCTCATGACAGAAAGCTAACAGATACATTTGCAATAAAAGTAGGTGTTCAGCATGGATGTCTTTGTCGCCTCTCCTATTTTTTCTGGAAATAGACTGGATTATAAGGACAGTAACTGCTAACACCAGAAATGGAATTCAGTGGATCCCTACAAAACAGCTTGATGATCTGGACTTCGCTGATGATATTTCTCTTATGACCCACTCACGGAATCAGATACAGTTAAACATACTTCATACGAGAAGACAAAAATTAGGTCTGAAAATCCGTAAGGAAAAGACAAAGACAATGAGAACAAATCAAGCAAACAGTAATTTTGTTTCTCTTAGTGGTATCCCACTACAAGATGTGGAGTCGTACACCTATTTGGGCAGTAAACTAGATAAAGATGGGAAATCTGATAGAGACATTGAATGACGAATACAAAAGTCAAGAGGAGCTTTCATTGTACTAGGACATTTGTGGAGATCAAAAACATTAAAAACTGAAACTAAACTTAACATTTGTAATTCTAATATCAGATCATTTCTGTTGCGTGAAGCGGAGACATGGAGAACAACCAAAGCAGTTACTAATAAACGACACACATTTATCAACTGGTGCTAGCGCAGAACAGAAGAAATTAAATGGTATGATAGAATCACTAATGTGGAGCGTTGGAAGAGAACAAGTTCCAGTGAATCAAGATGTGAAAAAATGACACTGGCGTTGGATAGGACATACCTTGAGAAAACCTTTCTCTCTTTTGTGTGTGTGTGTGTGTGTGTGTGTGTGTGTGTGTGTGTGTGGCATAATTATTTAGTGGGCGGGTAGCTCAACCACCCCTTCAAATTTGGCGCTTGTGTGAACATTACCCAGTCAACCCAGACAGTAATTCTAACATTAATCATTGTTGCTTTCCCGGAGAGTCAAAAACAACTTTTCTCCATGACAACGCATACACGAAGCACTGGTTACTGTTATTTTGAGATAGGTCACATCCTTGATTGGATAATCAAAGTAAGCTGGTTTTAATGCTGCGTATAAGGACAGTGGTTCTGATGTTGGTAATAAGGACAGTGGTTCTGATGTTGGTGATGAGGGCAGTGATTCTGATGTTGGTAATGAGGACAGTGGTTCTGATGTTGGTAATGAGGGCAGTGGTTCTGATGTTGGTGATGAGGACAGTGGTTCTGATGTTGGTGATGAGGGCAGTGGTTCTGATGTTGGTAATGAGGGCAATGGTTCCGATGTTGGTGATGAGGACAGTGGTTCTGATGTTGGTGATGAGAGAAGTAGTTCTGATGTTGTGATGAGGACAGTGGTTCTGATGTTCGTAATGAGGACAGTGGTTCTGATGTTCGTAATGAGGACAGTGGTTATGATGTTGATAATGAAGGCAGTGGTTCTGATCTTGGTAATGAGGACAGTAGTTCTGATGTTAGTGATGAGGACAGTGGTTCTGATGTTGGTGATGAGGATAGTGGTTCTAATGTTGGTAATGAGGACAGTGTTTCTGATGTTGTGATGAGGACAGTGGTTCTGATGTTGGAAATGAAGGCAGTTGTTCTGATGTTGGTAAACAAGGCAGTGGTTCTGATGTTGGTAATGATGGCAGTGATTCTGATGTTGTGATGAGGACAGTGTGACGAGGGCAGTGGTTCTGATGTTGGTGATGAGGGCAGTGGTTCTGATGTCAGTGATGAGGACAGTGGTTCTGATGTTGGTGATGAGGACAGTGGTTCTGATGTTGGTAATGAGGACAGTGGTTTTGATAGTGGTTCTGATGTTGGTAATGAGGGCAGTGGTTCTGATGTTGGTAATGAGGACAGTAGTTCTGATGTTGGTGATGAGGACAGTGGTTCTGATGTTGGTGATGAGGACAGTTGTTCTGATGTTGGAGATGAGGGCAGTGGTTCTGATTTTGGTGATGAGGACAGTGGTTCTGATGTTGGTGATGAGGACAGTTGTTCTGATGTCGGTGATGAGGACAGTGGTTCTGATGTTGGTAATGAGGACAGTGATTCTGATGTTGGTGATGAGGGCAGTTGTTCTGATGTTGGTAATGAGGGCAGTGGTTCTGATGTTGGGAATGAAGGCAGTTTTTCTGATGTTGGTAATGAAGGCAGTGGTTCTGATGTTGGTAATGAGGGCAGTGATTCTGATGTTGTGATAAGGACAGTGGTTCTGATGTTGGTGACGAGGGCAGTGGTTCTGATGTTGGTGATGAGGGCAGTGGTTCTGATGTTGTGATGAGGGCAGTGGTTCTGATGTTGGAAATGAAGGCAGTGGTTCTGATGTTGGTTAAGAAGGCAGTGGTTCTGATGTTGCTAATGAGGGCAGTGATTCTGATGTTGTGATAAGGGCAGTGGTTCTGATGTTGGTGACGAGGGCAGTGGTTCTGATGTTGGTGATGAGGGCAGTGGTTCTGATGTTAGTGATAAGGACAGTGGTTCTGATGTTGTTGATGAGGACAGTGGATCTGATGTTGGTAATGAGACAGTGGTTCTGATGGTGGTTCTGATGTTGGTAATGAGGGCAGTGGTTCTGATGTTGGTAATGAGGACAGTAGTTCTGATGTTGGTGATGAGGACAGTGGTTCTGATGTTGGTGATGAGGACAGTTGTTCTGATGTTGGGGATGAGGGCATTGGTTCTGATTTTGGTGATGAGGACAGTGGTTCTGATGTTGGTGATGAGGACAGTTGTTCTGATGTCGGTGATGAGGACAGTGGTTCTGATGTTGGTAATGAGGACAGTGGTTCTGATGTTGGTGATGAGGGCAGTGATTCTGATGTTGGTAATAAGGGCAGTGGTTCTGATGTTGGTAATGAAGGCAGTGTTTCTGATGTTGGTAATGAAGGGCAGTGGTTCTGATGTTGTGATGAGGACAGTGGTTCTGATGTGATGAGGACAGTGGTTCTGATGTTGTGATGAGGACAGTAGTTCTTATGTTGTGATGAGGGCAGTGGTTCTGATGATGGTGATGAGGACAGTGGTTCTGATGTTGGTAATGAGGACAGTGGTTATGATTTTGGTAATGAGGACAGTGGTTCTGATGTTGGTAACGAGGACAGTGGTTCTGATGTTGGTGATTAGGGCAGTGGTTCTGATGTTGGTGATGAGGACAGTGGTTCTGATGTTGGTGATGGGGGCAGTGGTTCTGATGTTGGTGATGAGGGCAGTGGTTCTGATGTTGGTAATGAGGGCAGTGATTCTGATTTTGGAAATGAAGGCAGTGGTTCTGATGTTGGTAAAGAAGGCAGTGGTTCTGATGTTGGTAATGAGGCAGTGATTCTGATGTTGTGATAAGGACAGTGGTTCTGATGTTGTGATGAGGACAGTAGTTCTTATGTTGTGATGAGGGCAGTGGTTCTGATGATGGTGATGAGGACGGTGGTTCTGATGTTGGTAATGAGGGCAGTGGTTCTGATTTTGGTAATGAGGACAGTGGTTCTGATGTTGGTAACGAGGACAGTGGTTCTGATGTTGGTGATTAGGGCAGTGGTTCTGATGTTGGTGATGAGGACAGTGGTTCTGATGTTGGTAATGAGGACAGTGTTCTTGATGTTGTGATGAGGGCAGTGGTTCTGATGTTGGTAATGAGGACAGTGTTTCTGATGTTGGTGATGAGGACAGTGGTTCTGATGTTGGTGATGAGGGCAGTGGTTCTGACGTTGGTGATGAAGGCAGTGGTTCTGATGTTGGCGATGAGGGCAGTGGTTCTGATGTTGGTGATGAGGACAGTGGTTCTGATGTTGGTAATGAGGGCAGTGATTCTGATGTTGGTGATGAGGGCAGTGGTTCTGATATTGGTGATGAGGACAGTGGTTCTGATGTTGGTAGTGAGGACAGTGTTTCTGATGTTGTAATGAGGGCAGTGGTTCTGATGTTGGGAATGAAGGCAGTGGTTCTGATTTTGGTAATGAGGGCAGTGGTTCTGATGTTGTGATGAGGACTGTGGTTCTGATATTGGTGACGAGGGCAGTGGTTCTGATGTTGGTGATGAGGGCAGTGGTTCTGATGTTAGTGATGAGGACAGTGGTTCTGATGTTGGTGATGAGGGCAGTGGTTCTGATGTTAGTGATGAGGGCAGTGTTTCGGATGTTGGTGATGAGGGCAGTGGTTCTGATGTTGGTGATGAGGGCATTGTTTCTGATGTTGGTGATGAGGCATTGTTTCTGATGTTGGTGATGAGGGCAGTGGTTCTGATGTTAGTGATGAGGGCAGTGGTTCGGATGTTGGTGATGAGGGCAGTGGTTCTGATGTTGGTAATGAGGACAGTGTTCTTGATGTTGTGATGAGGGCAGTGGTTCTGATGTTGGTAATGAGGACAGTGTTTCTGATGTTGGTGATGAGGACAGTGGTTCTGATGTTGGTGATGAGGGCAGTGGTTCTGACGTTGGTGATGAAGGCAGTGGTTCTGATGTTGGCGATGAGGGCAGTGGTTCTGATGTTGGTGATGAGGACAGTGGTTCTGATGTTGGTAATGAGGGCAGTGATTCTGATGTTGGTGATGAGGGCAGTGGTTCTGATATTGGTGATGAGGACAGTGGTTCTGATGTTGGTAGTGAGGACAGTGTTTCTGATGTTGTAATGAGGGCAGTGGTTCTGATGTTGGGAATGAAGGCAGTGGTTCTGATTTTGGTAATGAGGGCAGTGGTTCTGATGTTGTGATGAGGACTGTGGTTCTGATATTGGTGACGAGGGCAGTGGTTCTGATGTTGGTGATGAGGGCAGTGGTTCTGATGTTAGTGATGAGGACAGTGGTTCTGATGTTGGTGATGAGGGCATTGGTTCTGATGTTAGTGATGAGGGCAGTGTTTCGGATGTTGGTGATGAGGGCAGTGGTTCTGATGTTGGTGATGAGGGCATTGTTTCTGATGTTGGTGATGAGGGCATTGTTTCTGATGTTGGTGATGAGGGCAGTGGTTCTGATGTTAGTGATGAGGGCAGTGGTTCGGATGTTGGTGATGAGGGCAGTGGTTCTGATGTTGGTGATGAGGACAGTGGTTCTGATGTTGGTGATGAGGGCATTGTTTCTGATGTTGGTGACGAGATCAGTGGTTCTGATACTGGTGATAAGGGCAGTTGTTCCTAATAGGTATTAAGATGATGCTGGTGATGAGGGAGTAGTTCTGAAAATTATGATTGTTATAACAGTGACGCTGATGTTGATATTAGTGAAAACAGTGGTTCTTATGTGTGACGACACGCTCGATGACTTCAGAATGTGTGTTTCCTCAAGCTTCTTTTATTTCTATGCATTTTAAAGTATGCAGAAAAATAGAGATTTGGATATGTCCTAAATCTAAATCGACTACCAGAAAAAAACCTATTTAATTCTCCTAGACTGCTGGTGATATCAAACAATGAGACTCTTTCCCAGATGTAAAGTGTTAAGGCACAGAAAAGACTGAGCAGGTAGACTTAGTGGCACCAGTGAAATTGAAAGCTCAGATCTAGTGGCTGGAGATTTTGCTTGCAGAACTGGGGTGTCAGATAGTTATCTCCTAGCCAGACCTTTAGGAACAGATAACCCAGGCTAATTGTGATTATCTCCCCATGAGCTCTGCCTATGAGCTCTGGCCCGTTTGATGGACCAGAAGAATGTAACTGAGGGAATGCAAAGAGGTGTTGTACAGTCCTGACTGACAGTGAATAGACTTACCCAAAGGGAGGGGCTGTGACATCCTTGAATGAGAGTAGTTTTAGGAGTAATGTAGGAGGATCTTAGAAGAAGTTATAAAAGGGTGGACTCTAGGGCTGGGGAGTGAGACTCTGCCATAAGCACACCATCTGTTGGGCTTAAACCCTAAGCTTGAGACAAAACTTTTGGCATTTTGTTTTAACTTTCCAGGTAAGTGAAACTATTTTCAACCTTTATTTCGTGATAGAAATCTCCGTTGTCTCTTTGCTCAGGTGTGTGTCTTTATCACTTTTTAGTACTCCTTAGCGGACATTTCTCCATTCTCTTAGGGCACGGTCAAATTGCTTTTTATCGTAATTAATATTGTCATGAATGTTTTTTCGTGCACATGTCTTTCAATGTTGTATAACTTAAATGTTAATGTTACAATTGAAATTTAATGAACTAGCATTTTTCTAAAATCACAAGCGTGAAGATAATTTTCACGTGTGGTTATTTTGAATCTATATTACATACAGCTAGCACAATTAAATGTGTTTAACTCCCGGAAGGCTAATGCGGAGATTGATCCCGGAGAGTAAATCCCTGAGATTTGTTATTTGATATCGCCCCATAAATATTGTTATCATTCTGGGCGCACTCATTATTGCAAGTACAATTCCAGAACTTGTTTTGTCAAACTGATTGTCATTCTGATTTTGCATGAGAGATGACATCAGACATAGAAGACTTAACTATCATTACAGGACGTAAGTAGAGGAAGGCAGAAAATGTAACGACTTAAATGTGAGGCGAAGTCCTTCCAGACTGGACAGGAGAGAATGTGAATATGAGGGAGAGATGAAATGTTTTATTAGAATAGCCATGTTTGGTATTATTAGCATAGACATGTTGGTGTAAGTCTAGATACTACACATATGCGCTTGTTTCTTTACCACAGTTCCCACATTGGGCAAGGACTAGTAGCCATCCATTCTTTGCCGACCGTCTGCGTGTAAAGACCTGTTTGAAGCAGTGAGGATGACAAACTGGAAAAGGATAGGCAGGGTCTCAAACTGAGAACTGTCAAGGTTTATTTTCTCAAATTTTATGAGTAATTTATAACTTTTATATGAATTAATTTCATCAGTTACACCATCTTCACTCTACTAGCCTAAACACGTTCATTTTATTTTTGGTTTGATTTATTCAATAAATCTTGTTCATGTTGTTACAAAATAGTTGAGTAAATTGTGCACTTAGGTTCAAGTGCCTTTGTGCTTACTAGTTTACTACAGCTCATAAATATGTAAATCACTTGATGGGGGCTTTTGTTAAAAATTAATACCAGGAGAGGAGAAAGTCGGAGGGGTTAACTGTGTATCTTGATATTATCTCATTGGGTTAATCTTGATATCTATCTGTCTCTTCTCCTACTCCTGTGGATACAAATACAGCTACTTTCATTTAATGGAACGAGCCACTCGCTGTTTTCTTGGTTATCCAGGACTGTCTAGGATTAACATAGCTTAGATAATAGTCCAGTTTCTCACGTGGATGGGCACGGTTAGGGTTGAAACCCATACACTTACTATATAAGTGTATATACCCACGGGGGTTCGCGACATTATGTTTAAATGATGCTGGTAGCTCTGACACTGATGTTTATGGGGGCAATTCTGAAGATAATGATGTGAATCAATAATGGTAGTGAATCTGATGTTGGGATACTGGCTCAGCTAACGGTGTTTTGATGGTGCTAGCACTGATGTTGATGATGAGAGTAGGAGGTCTTGATGAAGCTGTTTCATCATGACGGTGGTAATGAATTGTTAAGTATATCAACAGTACCTTGCATCTGTCCAACTGCTGATCAACTTCACGCGCAGAAAGTCTAACTGAATCAAAGTAGGCAGCAGCATTCATCTGTTCCTTCAAACACAATCTCAGCTTTCCAACTCTGTTGTCAAAATTCTTTTGCTCAAGTGCCATGTTCTCTAGAGCATGACATCTTTCAGTAACTGCATTCAACAACTCTGTGTATTGTTTCCATGCTTTGCCTACAGTGTTTTCAATGTGGACTTGATCCATACACGGATGTTCTGTTGCTAAACCTTTGACTTTATTACTGACTGCATTTAGGTCTTGGTGCTTCTGCTTTAAATCAGTTGCTAGTTTCTGTCAAAGGATTAGAACAATACAAATGAGACAATAATATTTCTTAAATCATTAACTCTTTCAGTACCTATCAAACCATCATACGTTTACTATTTCTATGCCTTTTCTAAACGCAAACTTTTTCTCCATTTAGCTGTTGTAACACATGATATCCCATGATATCAGTTAGGGTAACTCATTTTGTCCCACAGTGTGATTTAATCTTTCTGTATTATTATTATGGGTAACAAATACTTTAGAAAGAATAAATTGAAAAAATATCTGCCCGAAAGATTGAAAGAGTTAAACATGGTTTTCACTCTGGTTTACTGTGTTTCTACTATACTATTGAGTACAGGTATGCCACTATACACTATCATCATACTCGAACAACAACACAATGACACTTTCATGATACAAAAATTGTAACACAATAAAAGGATTAGAGATCACAAGATAAAGTCGCATAGATGTTGGATATTACACCACTGCTGGCAGGCATCTCTTTTTCTACATCAACAACTTTTGCACACCAAGAAGTCAACGAGTGTTGACTTTCAGGTCAAGATGGCGTGGCAAGTGGATAGTTATTTTTTGGCGAGCGTCTAACCGGAGTCCGTTTCTGAGATCCTAGTCTGCATGTGAAAGTCTTGTTCAATTATGATATTTTAGGAAGTTTAAAAACACTATAACTGGTCCAGCAAACCGACAGTGGTTAATTTAGTACTCGTAGAAAAATTAGGAAGTCTCATTACCCGAATTGGCATCAGACAGGGTACCACAGAGAGCAATGTTATACAGATACAACGTAATAGAGCCAGAGGTTGACCACACACTATGTGGACCGCAGAAATGTCAAAGACACAGAAAGGTACTATATACGAAGCTAACAGAAGGGCCAGTTCCAGAGATCTCATGCCCTAACACCGAGCGCCATTATAGGAGTTGAGAAACGAAGAAGTGTTGACATGTTATATAGAACCTGTACTGCTGTATGAACACGAAACATGGACCAATAAGCAGACATGCTGTAAAACTTTCCATGACAATGTCTGACTAAAATAAAATAATACCGTGGATGTACCAAGTACTGTAGTCAATCAAGAAACAGTTGAAAGCCATGAAATAATTTGAGAAAATAGACGTAGACAGTAAAGATTTTGCTGGCATATTATAAAGAGAATAAATGTATAAACAGTGATAAACGATAAACTAGATAGGAAGATAGCTAGAGAAAGACAAACAGACACATATAAATCCAGTAACTGATCTCCCGCAAAAACACTTAATTTTCCCCAGATCAAGCAGTAACTGACCCTTAGTAAAGAAACTTCGTGCTTTGAGTAATTCACCTCACTAAAGAAACTTGGGTCTCCTAGTTTCAGTAGTAATTAACCCTTACTAAAGAAACGTTATCCGTCCTGTTTTAGCAGTCATTAACCCTCACTAAAGTAACTTGGTTCTCCCGGTTAATAGTAACTAACCCTCTTTTAAAAAAAATAAAAATAAAAACTAGGTTATCTTCTTTTCACTTATCTAGGGAGCAAGATGTCATCTACAGGAGATACCGCACCAGAAATACCATTTAGAATAGCACTGGCATCTAGTGCCTTCAATAAACTGTCTAACATCTGGAAATCAAAGACACTTAGCAAACACACACAACTCAAGATCTTCAATTCTTGTGTGATTTCAGTACTAACCTATGGATGCGAGAGCTGGAAATCAACGAAAACTCTAGACACAAAATTAGACAGTTTTGAAAATAAATGCCTTAGAAGAATACTAAATTTCAAATGGTCAGATTTCCGAACCAATACACAAATAAGGCAAGAATCCAGGCAAGAGTATGTGTCTAATTTTATACGAAAACATAGCTGGAACTATGTCGGCCACGCCCTTAGAATGGATAAATCAAGACTTCCTTACCAAGCCCTCATTTGGACACCACAGGGTAAAAGATCTCGTGGAAGACCAAGGAAAACCCTACGTATAACTATCATCAGGGAAGGCTCACTCATGGGCCACTCAAACATCCAAGACCTACAACAGATTGCAACGAACCGCCATGTATGGAGAGTCATGACCTCTGCCCTATGTGCCGCACTCGACACAAGAGGAAAGACTAACTAACTAACTAAATCTTCGGTTCGACAGTAATTAACCCTCACTAAAGATACTTGGTCCTCCTAGTTTCAGTAGTAACTGACCCACACTGAAAAAAAAAAAAAAAAAACGTCGTGCTGCCAGTTTCATCAGTAATTAACCCTTACTAAAGAAACTGAATTTTCCCAGCCACAACCGTAATTCATCCTCATTAAATACATTATATTCTCCCAATCTCAGAAGTAATTCACACTCCATACAGACCCGATTCTCCCAGTTTCAACAGCAATTCACACACAGTAAAGACACTAGTTTCTCCCCATTTCAGCAGTAATTCACCATAATTAGATACACTGACTGTTCATAGTTACAGAAGCAACAAAATACCTTTAAATCTTCCAGTCTCGAGACTACTTCACTTGTATTGTGTTTCAGTGAATGCATGTTCTCGAACATCTTGCCACATTGGTCTAGAAAGGTGAGATAATGTTCAGCTTCTTGCCTAATGGCTGACAGTTCTGTGTCAAACTGGTCACCACTATCAAACCCTGTAGAAACCTTTCTGACAAGACTCTTGTTCCCGTCTGTTTGGCCACTGTTCAGTAAATAATCAAAATCAAATTCAGTTTTATTTTTGTGTGGGGAAAGGGGGTGGGGGGGGGGGTGGGGAGATCAAAGTCATCTTTTTGCAAATCATATCTACACTGTCTTTTTTAAAACTATATTCTTGTGTTTGTGTATGGAAATGCCCACAAACATGTGGTTTCAGGAGCCTAATGGTTATCAGTTCCATGAAAGTACATAAGGGCTTCAACTTCAAACCTCACAAGTGTGGTAGAAATTACAATAATCTTTGTCTTGTAACCTGTCAATAGTGCTGTTAAGGATGTCAAGAGTGTTAGGCGTATAGTGACGGTTTAAAGATGGCCACTCAACTTTTGACATGCATCAAAGATGGCTGCGTGCGAAACTTCTTTAGTCCCGGTGATGAGAGATCGTGTCATTCACTGCCTGTTCTCTTCGTTTCCGCCTCGTGGTTTCATCTCCAGGTCGTTGTTTCAATTCTGGAGTAAGCTGCCACGACATCCAACTTGCCGACACGTTTATTAACTGTAGCACATTATGGATGATGCAGTGTTTTGAACCTTGACTTATGTGAAAATGTTCGGCAAGGTCAGTTGCAATCAGTCTCCGTGGGAGTTCTGCGTCACGACTGCACACACACACACAAATAATAGACTTCATGTCGTAGAAGTCGACTACTTTTCGAAGTCGGAGCGCGTCTTCTTGAGAGGCAAGGAACCAAAGTTTGCATACTAATAAGCCAGACCTGTTAAACGGATGTGCACGCAATACTCAGTTACTGGAATAAAACTTAAGTCAAGAAGAAGACGAACAACCAGAAATTTCCGCCTGAGAAGTAAAAAATGTTTCACAGTCAACCTGGGATTATCCTGTTCTAGGACTTCAACAGCTACAATCGACTCTGTGGTCACTACTCGGTGTGCCCGACCAGATCATAAACAGTATGTCAAAGAAGTCACGCCGTTTGGAAACTTCTTATTCCACTCACACACTTGCTGGATCTACAGGCATGCATCACCCACATTACTGGAACTACTTACACTGAGGCATTTTGATGGAGGTCACCCATTCACAAACTTTAAAAAAAAAAATTGGAAAAAATCTTTTTGATGCATGTCAAAAGTTGGGCGGCCATCTTTAAACTGTAATTGTGACGTCGTCATGTTCGTCTGCACCGTTGTGGCATGTGCTTAACACTCTTGACATTGCTGACGATAATACTAACTCGCTACAGGACAACGGTTTGGTTAACGTATTTTCTATGACACTTGTAAGTTTTAATTTGAAGCCCCTAGTTTATTGGTCCTCAACGTCTCTACTGTACAGATCTAAAGCCTTTCCTGACAGTTTAAAACTTGCAAGCATGCAATATGAAATTTGCAATCGTCTTTATCAAATCTGCACGTCGTATACCAGCGGCTCTCAAACTGGTTTTTCGCCGTGGAACCCTTTCAGGCAACAACAACAACAAATGTCGTGGGCCACCTATCCTTAAAACGGGTTGAATACTTAGGAAAAAGAAGGGGAAAAAATAACGTGTTCATATTTAATATTCAGTTGTCTTGAATGCAATAAATGAATCCGCATAAATTTTCCATTTTTTCCCTAACGTATATGGAAAGTTTAGTTAACTGTACCCTCAAATCATTTGACCCAGAAAGTTTGCTCCTGTATTTGGTTTTTTAAGTAAGCGTAAGTTGACAATGCACTGCCAATAGCATTGTTTTCTGAATACACCTGCATCCAGAACTCTTCTTGGCCTCCTTCACGGTATTTCTGTTTTAAACTGTTGTCTCGCTGATCTCAGTCAGATTGTGAAAAATACTTGGTTATTGCCGTCTGCATCATAAGCTCGTGGCATTCCTGGCATACGCTCGTGGCACCCCTGGCATACGCTCGTGGCACCCCTGGGAGCCGCGGCACTCAGTGTGAGAACCACTGATGCAGACAACATTTTGTTGTTGTCAACGAAGCAAAGATGTAGAAGTTAGTCTTCATTTACTTCTGTCGAATCCTAGGTGATAGTTGTCAATGCTAGTGTCCACAGAAACATGAGCCCGCTGTTAAAATATATAATTTAATTACTGTACATTACTGATAAAAACAAGTCATTCTTATAGAATTTTTAGATCTCGTCAATTCAGAAACAAACGTCTGTCCCTAAGACAGTATAATGAGTCCCTTCAGGTCTAACAACATAAGAGCATTCATTCTGGTAGCTCACCTAGATCTGTGTCTATGCAGGGAAGTGATATAGTATTGCTTTTCTTTCTGTGGTTGCTCAGGATCAGGCCATTTGTGTACTTGAGGCTCTTGGTCAGGCTTCTCCCAGTTTGAAATCGAGAGAAACAAGTTAATCCTGTGGTTTAAGTCTTGATTATGTTTATTTCACTGCTAATGTATAGTGTAAATTTAGAGAAATTGTTTTTAAAAAAATTATTCAATTCTTGAAAAATTAGCAAAGTAAGCTGCACATTTTCATGAATTCTTCCTTCACATTCAAGAATGTGGGGTAAAATCTTGTATGTATATATATATTATATATATATATATATATATATATATATATATATATATATATATATATATATATATATATATATATATATATATTGAGAGCATAATTGATTAGATCACAGATTAGTTACTAGGAAAATGCATAGACAGTTAACCAACACATATTATATGCCAAGAAACAAAAATGAGATAAGTGTGCACCCAAACATAAGGAGGTAAAAGACAAATTCAAAATAGAAATATGGTAGAGCCTTGATGCATTTTCTGATCAAGAAATTCTATTTGAGGAATGTTAAGAGCCAGATTATATGAAATACCAGAGGTTGAGTGGCGCGACTTGGACTTGAGGCCGACTTAAGTCTTGTAGGCACTATTTAATGACGCGACTGGACTATGGGTTTCGTCAAGCGACTCGACTTGCGACTTGTAGCTCTGACGACTTGGTACGACTCGTCCTTCGCGGCCGTCCACTGTCAGGTTTGGTGATCAACTCAACATTTGTAAAAGTCTTCTTATAAAACAGAATAGATTAGGTTTTGATTTATCAAGCTTTCACATTCGATTTCTTCCGCTTTTATATATAGTTCAGTATAGTTCAGTAAGCTTTTGGCACTGCCATTTCCAGTTTTGTAGTTTCGCCAGCAACGATTGATGTTTATTTATATTCTAGTAAACTTAAATACATTTTGAGTGTAACATCAGCTTTTAACTTTGGCTATGGCCTTCTGGAGAAGAAATCGGATAAAACTAGGTGTGCGCGATATGTTTTGAAACACAGTTATTACAGACAGCATACAGCCTCAAGTTTTTTGGTTTTTTTTACGACACCTAGAAACATATTTTAGTGGTAGCTTGATAGAACTACTGAACAATTATGACGTAAATCTACTGTTTAAATAATAGAATAAAATTATGTGACAACTGTTCAGTTTTCGGAACAAATTTATTAAAACAATAGCACCTTCAATATGCAGTTGTATTGTTCAATTCACTATTTACACACACAATCACAATTTACAAGTTGTTGACTTTTGCGTTGGTATCATAACATATGAACTAGTTCAATCGATAAGCATTGCCCCAACACGACGTGCAAAATACGTGATACATGAAATGACTGGACTCGAAACTCGACTTAGAAGCATTCTTGGTCACCTGACTTGACTTGGGAATAGGCGGCAATGACTTCGGATTCCACATGGGAGAACGCCACTACACATGCAGCAGAAACAGCTATATCAAGTTAACTATCATTACTGTGTGTAAATGTAGGCCTATAGCGAAAGAGATCTTATAATGCTGAAGGAAAAGTAAAGACAACAAAATTAGCCATACAAATATGAATAGGGGACACCATTATGTAAAGCAGCAAATGAAGCATGATTGAATGAAAATTGAAAGGAAAGAAGAACACCTCGTCTAGAAAGCAGGTTTACAATCAGGGCTGAATTTAGGACGCATGCCGCCTCTCTGCAGTCATTTACAATAATAATATTGGGCTGAACGGAAAATGACTACATACTTGAAATAATATTTTATGTGTGATCAGATGCTTAAAATGATCATATTTATATATAGTCTTAGCCCTTTAAGAAAATAGGTTTGAGTGGGTGGGTCGCCAGATCTTACCCCATGTGAGTATTGTGGCAAGGAGCTCCCGATGCCGATCCTCTGGCCCTGCTGCGACTGCTGGGCTGCTTTTTGAACCCGAGTCTCTTCTCTGCTGTATTACCATGTCCCTGCGTTCTTTGGTCGTGGCTTTTGGCCACAAACTGACTTTCCCATGCCCTAGGGCGCGTCGGTTGGTTTGTGTGTAACCCATGACTTTCTTCAGTTTCAAAGCTTCGTGAGCAGATTCTATCGCATCAAGGACCTTTCATTTGGTACCTGTCTTTATAATTGTAACAGACTCGCAGAACATGTTTAGAAAGGTTGATTCCAAAGCACCTCTGGCCTCTGCTCGTGCAAGAGGTGAGCATAACTGCAGTGGGAACGATGGAGAAAAAAATTCAACACAGCCATGAGGAAATGGCTCGGAGCATCACCTTGTGTGCCTGATGTGGCTCTGTATTGTAAGCAGGCTAAGCTGGTGCTTCCGCTCATGTCAATAACTGAAGAGTTTAAAGTCTGCAAGGTAAGGCTCGCGATGATGCTGTGCGAGTCTTCAGACCCCCAAATGACATCTGTCCAGTCCACTCTAAAGACAGATTAAATGTTTAATGTTGAATGTTAAATTAGAAATCGACATCAGAGCACTCGGGGCACTCTTATAAGTGCTCCGTCCCCATCTTTAGCAGCAAATGAAGAGTTCCAGATGGGATGGCACCAGTACCCATCTGATTGTATTTCTGTTTCATCCTTCCCCTGAGTGTTGAGCGTAACTCCTCAGACCGTATTGAACTATATGCACCTCCTCACTTTTCACTTGTTCCCAAAGGGCCCTCACCATATCTAGCTTTTCATACATCAATTCACCACCAAGTGGTGCATAAC